GATGAAGTATACCGTGTTGCATTTTACAACTTGGCCCAGCCTGACTTTTTTATTCATCCTGACCTGCTCTATATGCCTACAAAATTGCGTAGCTCTAGGCCAAATGTGCTTTTGACAATTTAGAAGGTGGCGCTGTGGAGCAATTTTTCTACTGAGGTGTGTATTGTTCTTCCAAATTATCAAATTTTTCAACGGGTCTGATGTACATGGCAATTTTGGTGAGTTTTCGAGTATGTTTAGGGCCTCAAAAACGTGTGTCTTTGGCACGAATAATAATAATAATCCGAGCAGTTCCAATAGGGTCTTCGCACCCTTTTGGGTGCTCGGACCCTAATAATAATAATAATAATCCGAGCAGTTCCAATAGGGTCTTCGCACCCTTTTGGGTGCTCGGACCCTAATTAGAAATCTAAGTAATTAGTAGCTGCAGCCATAATGACTATGATATTATTAAAAGTATTGATTTTTCCTGCTGTGCCTCTCTCCTGAACCCCAGACGGTTGAGGTAGATGTTTCTCTTCTCTTCTTTTATTTTTATTTTTTATTTTTTTAGAATGAGCCTGTATTTGTTCCAGATATGTTACAGCTATTTAAAATTCTGTTTTCACATATTTAGTGGAACACATGAGGTTAAGGGCCCAGCAGTGACTGTTTGGCGGCTTGAACCTGACCTTCTGGTCAGTAACCCGGAGCCTCCACTGATCTGAAGCACACTGACCATCTGTCCTGAGCTGATGCTGCCACAAACATGGCCGTTACATTTGCCTTTTTGTTTACAGAAACTGTCTGATCCCAGTTTCTTCCTGATTCGCTGTGATTTTCCTCTCCTCTTTCAGTGGGTGCTGCTTAATAACGGCTTGCTGGTTTCTCTCTGTAATGCTGTGAGGTCTACACCTTGAAGCGTCTTGACCTGTGATTTACTGCTATTAAAATAACATTTAATTAACTTTAATAGAGGGTCTGTATATGAAGTGGCCAGAGATACGGAAAAATTGCAAAATCACATACAGAAATCTTTTGTAAGGATACAAACTACCTACCACAGGCTAGAAAAAGCTTTGTACATGGAGTTTAAAGTGTTTTACAGAAGCCTGAAATCAAAGGTGTTTCAGACCTGTAGACTGACACACTGATCATATCAATGTCTGGGTCCTGAACTAAAAGCACACAGTACAGCAGGGCCGTGTGCTCAGAATGATGAAGTGTAAATGCATTTGTTAACACATCAGCTGCTGGTTATGAGCATTATTTTACAAATCTATCATCACGCACACACAAACAGTTTCGTACCCCGTCTAAGTAGATGTTGATGTATCCTTCGTCCATGTCCACGCGCTTCACGGAGCGGTCGCTCTGCAGCTGTGACAGGACACAGCACACACTGCCATCAGTACATATGAACACAACAGGTGGACGTAACAGTGGTGGGTTAGGTGAGGAGGTCTGATGAACTGACCAGTGCGAGGGAGCTCTTATCCAGAATGTATCCAGACAGCAGTTTGATGTTGATGATGACCATGTTGGTTTCCTCTCTCCTCCCCTGGTATCTGCGAGACACAACACAGATGTTCACACACAGGACTTTTTTTCACCAAAACCCGTATTTTACGCCTGTATGTTTTTTTCTTCACAGTCCTGCAGATGTTATGTCAATGTTCAATCTTAAAACGTTGCTAAATGTGACTCCTGAACTGTGCGGTCCTCACAATTGTATCTGTGCTACACTGAGACGTTCAAAGTCCGCTCAAACATTTCTGTCTTGCTGTGTGCGCAACATGTTCCAACAACAAATTCTAACAGATTTTTAAAAACGTCTGAGATAGTAACCTGAAAGTGGACCTTCATTTGACTCAGGAGTCAGAATCTAAAAGCTGAACACTGAAACTTCACTATTTCACTAGACGTTTGCAGTTAAGAAAAGTTATTTTAAAAAAAAGTCAAAAGAATCAAAACAAATGTGGTTTATGTTTGTATTTATGAGGTTTAGTTGGTGCGACCACAACTCTAATGAAAACCTGCTGGCGGCTAAGTTCAGAACCATAAATTACATCCAAACTGAACTACAGTCGTGACTCGATAATCCGACACTAAATGTAAAACCTTCTTTTATGTCAGATAGCAAGGCTGTCGGATTGTCAAGACGGAGGTGGAGATACAAGGAGGGCTTGATGCTGGAAGGCTCATTTGTTATTAATATTTATTGTTCATAGTTGTTATAATAACTAGTAGGGCTGGTCTGAATAGCACTTTCTCCTCTCTGGATATTCAGGCCCAATTAATGATTAATATCAGAATACTCTGTGCGGTCCAGGAGACACTTCCACCCCGGGGGAGCGCTCTGACGGGGTGGAAGTGGCCGGAACACACAGGCAGAACTTGCTGCTGATGCCAGTTTAGTTAGTGGTCACAGTTCTGTTTCCACTATCCATGTTTACTTCCGTAAACACTGAGCACGCTCGCTGCGTGTGACGTCGTCGTGTCCTCTTCTGCGCATGCGGGACACTTTTGGGTCGTATGAAGTTCACACAGCAGATCACATACAAGTCGCATTTAATTGGAAATGTGAAGGAACTCACAAAAAAAATCTGATTTCACAAAAAAATCCAAACTGAGCATTAAGTCCTGCAGTCTGAACGTAGCCAATCTGTCAGATTGTTCAGTCAGATAATACGCCATTATCCTGATTTGTGACATAAAATGTCACGTCGGAGTCAGAATCCAAGGCTGTCGGTATGTTAATGCTACTTTAATGGGTTCAGTTCGTTTTTCCTAAAAACCTGTCGGATAGCAAAGTTTAGGATTGTTAAGGGTCTGATTATTGAGTCACGACTGTATTTCTTCCTCTGTGTTGTATTAAGGCACCATTTGTTGAAGCAACTTGACCAGATAAAGTCCCCACTAAAGCCCAGAGAAAGTGCAAACATACTAAATCAAATCCAACACGGATGCAGAGTACCTGACGTGCACAAAGAGGATGAGCTGCGGCCTGCTGATGTTACATTTGGCCATGGTGTTGGTGGAGACGTTGAAGGCAGAGAAGTCGGCTGGAGGGGGGATGTTGTAATGCATGGAGATCTGCACAGAAACAGGACACTCATCTGTTCACGTTTCTTACAGCAGCTGTTTCAGGTACACTGAGTTTAAACCATCTGTGGTGTTTCTGCTGAACGTACAGCAGAACCTCGACAGGGCCTGGATCATCCAGCGCAGGGTCGTCCGCCACCAGGCTCACCTGACTAAAGCCCTGACAATACGTCCTGTTATATTTATCTTCTAAATTGTCTTTATGTCATTTGTAAATCGCTTTAAGGCCAATATTGCTAAATAAGAATAATATTTAGGTTTAGTTTTGGTTGGTCATTTGAATAATTAAAATGTCAAGTTTGTTGACCACTGAAGCATTAAGAGGAAACCACAAAGTTATCACTGACATTCAGATGTTCAGCCATCAATAAAACACATGTAACAAATCTATAAAAAATTAAATGGAGAATTTTTAAAGTCTAATTTACAGAAATGCTGCCACAAAATACATTTCTATGCTTTACTGTGCTGTAATTTAATCCACATCTGGCAATAGTACTGGGCTGCTGCTGCATCAGCTCAGCTGTAGTAAAACCCAATGCATCTGCCCACTCATTTTGCTAAATGCTATGGTTTCCCCTCCTAACTTCCTGTCTCATTTTATATTCACATTCACATGTTGAGATACTGGTCATGTCTGGGGATCATGCAGAGATGGAAGGTACCTGTGCCAGCACACAGCTCTGTCCCTGGGCTTTGATTGTGTACTCTCCGGGCACCTCGCTCAGCTTCTCCTCCTGATACAGCAGCCTGTTGCTTTGATCCACTATGAACTCTTTGTTCAGGCCTCCCAGAGACGTCACCGTCACTGTGGTGCTGCCCTCCGGACTGTAGGTGGCAGCGCCGTACTTGGCCAGCGCCTGGAGGGCCACCACGGTGTCCTGAGGAGCAGAGAGGTGACATGTGTGGGTTCAGTGTGAAACTCCTCCCATAAAGAATAGATGTGTGTGTGTCCTCTGTCCTACCTGTGTGGAAGCGAAACCACCGTACGGGTTCTGCTGCTGAGTGAGCCAGCGGACGATACTAGTGGCGTAATCCAAACCGAAGTCTGGCATGGCGGGACCGGTGAGCAGAGCCAGCAGCACGTAGGAAGTCATCTCCACCTCCAGAGAGTCCAGGACTTTCTTGGAAGCCTCTGCTCTCTCCCAGTGACGGGTGCCTCCTGTCAGCCAAGAAAGGAGAGCAACACATTAGAAGATCAGCACAGAAGCCTTTGTGCACTTCAGTAAAATTAATGGACCCACGCAGGACCACAGCCACCACATCCAAACTGGAAAATATAGCCCACAGGGTGTTTTAATGTTTCACTTTTAGATGGGATCCACTTGAACTGCTTTTACCGGTTGCTTACCGACTGACATTTCAAGTACTATTTGCTCTTCAAATGACATTTCAGCTGCATTCATATTTCTCTTGAACTGGCGTCTCGACTAAATTCAATGCTTACACTTCAACACTGACATCCAGGCTTTTCATCTTTGAAGAATGAAAAAAAAAAAAAAAAAAAACATCCTTTGCTTCTATTGTTCATTCACAATTTACAATATCCCATTTCATGACTTCCACTACAACTTAAATCTTTTATTATTTGCACTGAAATTATCGGCCCAATTTATCACCTATTTGTGTAAAGTTTTAGCTACTGAAGTGTTTTAGTCTGGATTTTGGCCCAAACCCAGCACTGACATGGCTCTCATTAAGATGATATTCATTTAGAAAGTGATTCAGGCAAAATGTCAGCTTTAGTCTTATTAGAGCCAAGTGTTGATCATAAAATACTGCCAGACAGAGGAGGGCACTGTGTCAGGCGCAATGCTAATGCGGTTCAAGTCATATCACAAAGACTGGAGCTATTTTGTCTCAGGCAGTAATTAGAAGTTTAGGCAGACTCATGTGATGTGTGGTGTTCCCCAAGGCTCAATCCTGGGTCCTCTTCTTTTTTATAGTTTACATGCTCCCTTTGGACCACAGTATACAAAGCCATAACATCAACTATCATAATTATGCAAATGACACTGGTCTGCAGGAGCTCTGTCACAAAGTGAACAAAGACTCCCTCTGCAAAGGAACTCCACAATTTAAAGACTGGATGTGCCTGAACTGTCTACAGATAAGTGTCGCATCTCAAAAAGACAGAAGACTGAGAGCTAGTGGTCATCTCTGTCTCTGAAAACCAAGAATCAAGTCAGAACTACTGGTGTAGTTAATATTTAAAAGCCATGTCAAATCAGTTCCAAAGTCCCGAGTCTTTGATCTTGAAAAAAACCCCAGCAAGATCCTGAATATTCATGTCCAGGCAGGACACCATCAGATTCAGTCATTGATCCATGCTCTCATTTCCAGCACTTTACAATACTGTGACTGTGTTTTCTCGGGTTTTCTTCATCTCATTTAGGATGATCTCCCAAAGGCCAAGAGGAGACGACACATCACCCCAGTCCAGAAGACCAGAGGTGCTGGTGTTTCTGGTAGTTTCATGGTCGTACCCTCTGTGTTGGACTTCTGGTGCAGAATGTTGATGAGTTTGCTCTTCATGTCCAGGTCTCCAGCCAGACTGAAGGTGTAGGACAGCAGGGCGGTGGTGTACACGTTGTCCAGCTGGCTGGAAATCGCTCCCCGAAGACAATTCAGGCAGTTCTGTACCATGGGGTCCTGATACGAATGCAAACATGAGATTGTGTTGAGGAGCCAAGTGTCACAACAGATACTGTAAATTACGTTGTGTGCAGACTTTGAAATATTAATACAGTTGTTTGGTAAGGCAACCTTTTCAATTCTTAAAGCTACAGTGACAAAAAAACAAAAAAACATGCTGACGTTTGCTCAGCATTTCCAATAGTGCTAATTCTAGCACTTCTCACAGGGGACGGAGACAGTTTACAAATAAAAATCAATTCTGTTGCTTCCTCAGTTATCTTACAATGAAACAGAAATCAGAGAGAACAACTGCTTTCTTTCTTTCTGGATCTGTTTAGAGGACAGTGTCAAATTGTTGAAGGCATTCTCTCCAGTTTGACCTCCTGCCCTAAAACTAAAACAGTGTTGGCAGTCCAAGAATTAAAAATTAGCTTTACGGAGGCAATATTTGAAAAAACTCAGCATCTAAAATGATGACTTCAAAAAAAAAGGTGGGGGAAGTCGGTCACACTCACCGTGGTGTCAGAGTCCAGCTCCAGCAGGGCGGCGGTGATGTAAGCCGTCAGGGACACGTCGTCGCTCACTCCTCCCTGATGGAAACACAGCAACGAGGTCGGACGGTCGGAAAAGGCAGCACAACTTTTCTATTACATTCTATTCTGCATCACTAAATTGGTAATTTTTTACACACTGTTGGGTGTTTCTCCACCAGAAACATTTGCAGCTTCAACTGTCCACACACCTCATAGAAACACACAGTGTCCAACAAAAACATTCAAAGGTTTTGAAATTGAAAATGAAAGTACGTTAAGGAATTTGAGCAGTATTCTTCTAACTTTTTCTTCCAATCAGATAAAAACTTTCACTGTTGTGTTAATCAGCAACGACAAGCCGACTGATGCCTGTAACGAATGTAGGAGTGGCTTCATGTTTTGTTACGAAGCTCACATAAAGTTTCCTAAAAACACTGTATGGGATAAAAAGAGGAGACAGTAATACTCTTGTTCTCCTAATTAAAGAGCCCCTCTGGTTATCATGTCCACATGGTGTTTTTTATACGCTGGAAGACACATCATGAAAGAAAAAAGCAGTTAACACCACTCCCTCAGCATTTCCATTATAAAACTACAGAACCAATCCCATCAACTTGCAGGACTAAACTGTCTGTATCATACTTTTTCTTCAGAAGTGGTTTCTGGGTTTAACATCCATCCATCCATCATCTATACACCGTTTAATCCTCACTAGCATCACGGGGGGCTAGAGTCTATCAGGGTGAAGGCAAGGGACACTCTGGACAGGTAACCAGTCTATCACAGGGCTACACTTAGAGACAGACAACCAAGAACACTCACATTCACACCTATGGACAATTTAGAATCACCAATTAACCTCAACATGCTTCTGGACTTGTGAGAGGAAGCCGAAGAACCCGGAGAGAACCCACGCTGCACGGGGAGAACATGCAAACTCCACGCAGAAAGATCCCGGTGCAACCACTGGGACACGAACCGGCGACCTTCCAGCTGCGAGGCAACAGTGCTAACCACTGCACCACCTTGCAGCCCTGGGTTTAACATATAGCGCTGAATTATTCCAACATTACAACTTGCCATTGTGTAGCACAGAGTAGTTTTACAGTGCTAGGTGACAAATGATGGTTGTGAACATTAGAAAGTTTAAAGAATGTAACCTGCTTCAGTGAATAGTTTGTGACTGAATGGATTTAGAACAGAACGGACAGAATGCAGATCCAACGTTCAACAGGGTGTGTTACATATTGTTGATGCTAGATAGTATGTTGAAATCACAGATTTTTATTTTATTGTGTACATTGGGAAGGATTATATTCATCATCTGTGTAGCTCCTTTATGTAACGGAGTCATTTCTAACAGCACAGACTTGAACCTTGCGTGTCGAAGAGTATTTGTGTTGAGCTTCATGTAAGAAAAAAAAACACAAGTGCAAAGATGACCAGTTAAAGTTAAACACATTAGTTCCTAACTCAGAGTTGTCAGGGCTTACTGGTGTTAGTCTGCATCAAGAAATACCGTCGAGCCGTAGAGACTGGCTAACTGGATGTTTCCTCGGCTCTGTGTGTGAGTGTGTGTGCTGCCTGCCTGCCTGCCTGCAGGCCATAAGCTATCTCTGCTCTCCGCTCAAATAAAGCAGCACTTGAAAATTCTTTTCTATTAAAATCCCTTCATGCACTGAGCTAATTCTGTTCTTTTGTCATGCAGGAGAAATTTAGCAGAGTAACACCCAAAAGCTAAAGATTGGAAGTCCAGAAAGATCCTTTTAATAACGCTGATGCTCACACCGATCATTACCTTCATGCCATTGTGGAGAAGTCTTCCAACAGATCTGATGCAACCGTCGGGCCGCTGGTGTTTGGACAGCCACCTCCTGGCATCTTTAATGTGCTGGGGCTGCACATAGATGTATGGTCTCGCACCGCCGAAGGACTTCATCACAAAAGCGGTCAGCCTGGGGGGTCACATATAAACACAAGATACACGCACACAGTTTGTAGAAAACAAATCTGACCATGTGAGCCTGTGTTGCTAACCCCGAAATGAACCCAGCTTCAGGACAATTACATAACGGCCGCATTCTCACACCGACTCAGAGCGCCTGGTCTGAGCTGCATCTCCAACAACAGTCTTATTCCTCTGAGCCGCACCAGAATAAAGACAGCTGGAGCAGACACAGAGACAACACGGAGCTTCTGATACGATGGTATGCGTCTTAGGCCACGTCCACACATACACAAAGGTATTTAAAGAGTTTTTCCCTCTTTTGCTCTCAAAAAAAATCCCATCCACATAAACACGACTTAAAATAAATAAATAAATAAATAATTGTACGTTATGTAAAAACACAAAAACGCAATTGAGGCACTTTTAAGAGCACATCAGATGACAGGGTTATGATGACATAACCCTAAGTCAGATAATCAATAGCCTGATTACTGGTTCCAGCAGACGACCAACAAGAGCACTGAAAGAGGGTCAATCATATGTGTGGACTGACAGCAAAGAAGAGTTATTTCTTAATAGAATTTCTGTGTAAATGTGTACAAAGTCTGGTTAGCGTAGCATTGTACAAACTGCGCTGACTAATGTTTTCCCTGTTAGTTATTTGAATCTCTTCACCAAGGAAGGAGTTTTTTCAAAGGGTCCATTTTCTCTGACCTAAATTTTTGTTTGCATATGAAGGAAAAAGAAAAAAAATAACTTAAAATATCTCTAAAGGTCTGAACGCGGCCTTGAGGGACCCAGTGACAGACCTACCTCATCACACTGCACTGCACTATGATGCCTGTGGATGTAGTTCAGGATCAACCAAAAGCTGCATTTCTTGGCCTTTTTTTTCCCCTTTTGGCCACTTGTGGGCAGCACAACAATCTATAAGCGTAACACTGACTTATTGCTGCTTTAAAATGCTCAACGTGGCAGCGGGCAAGATGTGAAGCCACATTAGCATTTATTTGAAGCCATATTTGAGTCCAATGGAGGACTCTACATGTTTATTCTCTTTGTTCCTCTGCTACGACCAGTTTGTGAGAATGTTATCCGACTTTTTAGCTATTACATGCTTTAACTGCTAATTGTGTTTCTCTGGTGTGTGATGTTTGGCAGCAGATAGATAAATAATAATAAAAACACAAAAATGCTCAGTAGGGGTTAAATAATTAGAAATGTTACGCTAATGTTCTGTGGATTTGACAGCGGCACCTTTGACGACACAAATGTTTCTTTGTTTTTATCATTTTTGAAAGAAGTAATGCAGTTTCAAAGCTGCATCAATGATTTTTGTACAATAAGAACATGATAAAAAAAAACAGATAGCTTTCTTGTTCCACATTCAGCAGACACACAGCAACACTAGCAGTCATTTAAACTCGTGCTTTTCTCTACATGATGTTCACCAGCTGCTAACTTTGCCTGCAGTCTGGTGCTGGGCAGGTAGAGTGCAGCAGGTTCATCAGAATATTTTTGCTCCGTCCTGCTGCGTGTGAACACAGGGCTGATAAGAGCCGAGTTTGTGGGCCATAAAACCAACACAATGACTTAAGAGGCTTAAAAGCTCTGCAGCAGTGAGGGGAAGTGCAGAATTGGCTGATAATTCTATGTTGGTTTGTCTATTTAAGCAACTCCTTTCACATGACGCACAGTCCTCTGAGCCATTGTTCATCTATAAAACATTTCACAGCTCTAAATAAAAATCTATAGATTTGCTCAAACTTGGGTGAAAGTTCCAAAGTTCTACATGACTGCATTGGGTAAAACAGTGATGTGTTATTTTAAGTGATTTGGACAGTTTCATCCAGTCTTCTGTTGGAACTGTAATGCAAGCGAACACTTGCGAGCCCTAGTTTCTGCTCACCACAAACACACACCCACACACACACTCACCAACTGCCAAACTGCCCAGCACCCTTTCAAAACAGCAGAAGGTTTGTTAAATCCCCTGAGGCACTGTGCTTTAAGCCCATTAAATGAAAATATTAATATTTTCTGGCAGGTTCCTCATAAAGTAAATTATTAGGATGCTTGCTGGTGCCAAACAGCGGAGAGGACACACTGTGTGTGTGCGTCTACCTCCCACTGTGTCTGCGTGTCGTCTTTGTTCTCTCGTCACATGAAGTGTGAGATTTGAGCTGAAAATATTTAGTTCAACAGCGAAGCTCCAGATAAATGTTTTAAATGCTTTTATAACAGCTGATGCAACGGCGGTATACCATGAGTTATATCATCATGAATATATTCCTTATGATGCTGATATTTATAGGTCATCAAAAATGTTGTTGTTGACAGGTGTGTACATAAAGTCAACACAACAGAGACGGTGTGTGTGTGTGTTTTATCTACATATGGGCTTCTTATCAAACTTAAATATGATCATTTCTTAATTTATGTTGTATGTATTTTTTTATTATTATTTTGAAAAAATAGACTTAATATGTAATAAAACTAATTAATATAACACATGGTGCAGCTGTCACTTTTATAAAACACACAAAATGTGACCGCAAATCCTATTAGTTAAACTACTAGCACTGATTAAAACTGCCTAACAAGTTGCTGTATGCTCACACAAGATGACTTTGAAACAAACCTTTTACCAGGTGTTTCATAAATTGGTACTGACCAGGTGTTTCCGGACTCGTCACGCTTTCCAAAGGCGCTGTAGGAACCATCGTCGTGCTTGTAGGTGAGTTCCCTCTGATACCCTACAGCACACAGACACAGGAACATCGCACTGAGCACATTTACATTCATTCACTTCCACTAAACACAGACTGTCCAATTCTGGTAAATGAGTAACCATCACATTTTAGAAGGGCCGCATTCGTCTGGTTTGTCTCAGTCACCATAAATCGTTAAAACTAACAGTGTGGAATGAAGCCTATAATTAAAAATCAGCTATATCTGTACTCGCAGATTGTTCGAGGTAAAATCCCCTGATGATGACCTTTACTAGTGGCGATAAGCAGACTACAACACATTCAGAATCAGTGGTTGATGGTTCACTTCCACACATTCGTTCATTTTCTACAATCTCAACTAAACCGTGCGGCACTGTTTGAAGACGATCGCCACGACTCTTCCCATTTATTGTCCCTGAACACCCATGTGACGAATCTTTGATGTTTTGTAAGAGTGAATTTTCCAAATCTACGTCCGACGTTTACATCCTTTTGTTTTGCGTGTCGTGCTTTCAGCTGTTATTTCATCAGACCAGACCCATCCTAAAAATAAAAAATAAAAAAAGGGGACAGGAACATATTAGAACTGATTCAGAGAAAGTCCTGAAGGCTCACCGCTCTCCAGGAAATGTGTCGCCTTGTCCAGGATCTTCTGAGTCAGCTGACCGGTGCTTTTCAGGTAGTTGAGGATGAAGATGTTGGGAGCAAACAGCAACATGTTTTGCTCTCCACAGCCGTACGGCATTGCCAGCAGCTTGTCCAGGTTCTTCATGGCTCGGCCCATCAGGTCACCTGCAGAAGCAAAAAGGGAAAAAGTTACTCTAAGATCTCACACTGCAACCGTCTTCCAGATCTTGATAGCAAGAGTCACGTAAATGACTTCAAGTGTCTTTGTGTGGTTTGACTCACCCACAACAGAGACAGACGCTCTGGCTGATCCAGCCACAAACAGTTCAGGCATCAGGAGAGAGATTTTCTTCTCCACAGGCCCGTCTGGAAAAAGCACAAAAAATATCACATACACAGAACTTAATTTAACTTCTTCTATTCTCTGGTTAAAGTGCATAAAATATAGTAAATGTTTAACACAGGATGCAATTTTGATGTTTTTTATCAATTTGGGATAAAGTCAGCGTCTTCATTTTCTTTGTTTCCTCGTCATTTGTTTCTTTGTCGTTGTACAACACACTTACATCTGCTTATTTTTTAAATTAAATGTTATGCAGTCGGGTCTCCACTAAACACCGACTCAGCTTAGAGTCACATTGTCTTGTTCATTTACTTTTGCTCAGTCCTGTGTGAAAAATGCAGCTCACAGTTCGCCGTGTTGCTCCACTTCAGCGTAACACAGTGCTGTGAAATAGTTGAAATGAAAATAAAATTGCAACTCGCTGTGTCATTATGGAAACTCACTGACGCCTCATTATTCTTTATCCTCTGACACATGCTGGATAATTACTACGACCATCCATTTATTACCGACTAAGTTATCTCCAATCTGACAAGCAGAAGCCAAGAAGACTCGATCGCACTAAACAACTGTGAGAATTTCAACCTCTGACCCCTACACAGGTCAGGGGCAGCTGAAGATGAATTTATCAGACGTCCTAGCCTTCATTCTCTCCAGAGGGCCGTTCACCCCGTGGCTTTCAGATTTCAGACGCCGATATCGGGGTTGTTTGTGAGCACTCACCTGAAGGGCAGAGGAGGGCGTTGTGGCTGACCATTTGCGGTGTTCCTTCAGCCTTGAGGGGAGCGAGACAACAATCAGTCATGTTAGTGGATGATCTAATTTTATTAAACAAAACACAACTCGTCTAAAAGAGCTGCGTGTGTCACAGGCCAGGTATCACTGTGTGGCGTGTTGACATGTTCCTGCATTACCACAAACACACACTTTAATTCACACACACACATCATCCTGCTGCAAGAAATACTCACCACAGCACCAAAATGGAATTAACTCACAGGAGAAATTAGTCCCTCAAAGTGTGCCAGCTACTGCTGTTTACTACGGTTTGATTAAAAAAAACTAAAAACTACGGGACCCTCTTTGTTTTCCAGAAAGTCCTTTTTTCGTCTGATCAGTTAATAAAGATTTACATTTTGAACAGGACGAGCTGAGCTTGAGCCAGGCTGGGAGTTTTCCCTTCAAACTTCTTATCACAAGTGCAAGCAGTGAGAAATATACGGACTAAAACCGGCTTACCCTCTAAACCAGGGGTGTCCAAACTTTTGCAAAGAGGGCCAGATTTGGTCAGGTGAAAATGTGTGTGGGCCGACCATTCAGCCTGTCATTCTTTGAACCATTAACATTAAATACAAATGCACTATTTTATGAATTTTTTATTGTAAATGGCGTACTTGATTTTTCATTTTCAAGTTTTTACCAAAATCACTGCCTTTGATATTTGAGAACCACATAAAATGAAAAAAAGTCTGTCTGGAAAAAAAACACTTTAGGGAAGATTGAACATATCCAAGTTCATTTGAAACATTACATATTATTCACTATTAAATGCTCACAGTAAACTTCTAAATCCAAATCAATGGTCAGTGCATATTCAAACCTGTGGTTTTGATGATCACCAAAAAAAAAAATCAATTCACTGAGATTGTAGAACTTATTTACCTCAGAGGACTAAACAAATATCTCACCTGCACTAATGTGAAGGAATTACTGTTTAGAGTCTCAACCAATAAGAAACATGACACATTATTTAATCTGTCATTACAGCAGCATTAAAAGGACTTTTCAGACAAGCGGTCTTTATTATCAGAATGCATTGTGTGTGTTATTGGGGTCTGACAAACACAAAGTATGTAGCGTCTTCCTCAAATATTTGCTCATCTTTTTTTTGTTTTTTAAATATCCGTGCTTTGGCTTCGTGTCTGCTTGCTGGCCGTCAGTGTTCTTGATTGCTTTGCTTCTTGTTACCACCAGCTATTGATCAGTGGGTTAAAGTGGGAGTATCTGCCTGCTCAAAGAAGCCTTGATTCTACAAGATATAGTGTACAAGCCTTGATTCTACAAGGCCTTTTGTACACTATAAATTCTAAGAACATAAATACCTATACTGTGTGTTAGACAGCATAAAGTGAACCAGCAGGTGAAAAAACTAACTAACAAAAAAAGCGTCCTACATGTATAAACTCACAATAAGGTGGGAAACTAAAAGGAACCTGGTGTAGTTGAACGTTTTCATTTTTAGAGAGGAAACATTCGCAAACCAAGACTTAGAAATATAACTCAGTTCTGGTAGGTTTTAATTGGTACTTCTCGCTTTATTTCACATTAATCATACTAAAATATAATCAATTATTCAAAATGTCAATCTATGAACCCTTAACATTTTCTGGGCATTTTTTAATTTATTTATTCCCGTCATGTTTTCTCACTGTGGGTTCATTTTTTTTCAGTAATATGAAGTCCTGCACCTCTAAGGAAACACAATAAGTAGTCACAAGTAGAGAGAACTCAAAGATGTCTGTTGTGCAGTGAAACAAATACTGTTAATAATAAAAAAGAAAAACAAAAGTTGAATTTGTTTGACTACCTTTAAAGCCTTTCAAACCTGCCCGTGGGTTTTAGGGTTCAGCGTGTGGGTTTTAGGGTTCAGCGTGTTTAAGGACAAAAGTGAAAATACTTCTGACGGGTGTTTTAACTACATCTCAGCACAACCTGCAGTGTTTGGCTGTCTGACACTTACTGACCTCCACCAGCAGAGTGCGGATCACGGTGTCGACTCGGCCCGTGTCGGGGACGGTGGCCACCTCATTGCCACACAGCGTGTCAGTCTTCAGGGCCTCAGCGCTGACCTTCAGATTCAGCTTACCTGCGAGCACATACACACAGTCTCATTGTGGAAGCGGGCCTGTATTGATTATCGCTTCCTCCTCCTGTCACACTGTCACATTTTGTGCACGGAGGCAAAACAGCTTCCCATCTGCTTCTCAATCCGACTCATTATCCTCCCTCCTGTCTGTGTTTTCCTTCCTCCCCCTGTTTCCCATCTTATTCACCCTCATTAATCCCTATTTGTTGCCTTATTATACTGTCTCTCCCCCGTACGGCTCTATCTCCCACCCCCTCCCTTCCTTCCTTCACAGCCCACAATCCTTCACACGGAGGACAAGTACAGATCACCCCCCGAGGGAGAGGTTTCTGAGTGTTTCGTCAGAGATACTACCTGACTTGTTAGTACAAGTGATTGTCAGCATTCCTCTAAGGGGGAGTTAGAGGAGCGCAATTTGACATTCATCAGAGCCTCGTCTCCATCCCTGCTGATGGAGGCTGATAGAAATCCTCTGCTTTCAGGCCAGGCAGCGTTACAAACAACAGCCGCCTGTCTTTGCTTCTAGCAGTGCCGACGCAACAGCTGTCAGTGGCCTTAATAAGGATTAATTAGCTTGTTCTGTCTCATCTTTCACTGAAAGTGTAAGATTGTATTAGACGCAACAAACAACATCAGTGTTTCATTTTAAAGATATGAGAACTGCATTATGCTAATGGTGATAGAACAAGAGTCAAACGACAGATTTCTCTGTATTAATGAGGAGCCGCAGAGCAAAGCTGTGACCAGCTGATACTGAGACTGTTTTCAATCCAGCGACTGAACTGAAGCCAAAAGATAAAAAGTATTTTATCTGTTCTGTTCAGTGATTTGTCTCAGTTTGAACAGCCTCTAAAAGACCATCAATAAAGACATTACAGAGGTCATATCATTGGTTTGCTGCTGAGAGTTTTCCGTTCTGTAAATGTGTTTTATACCTTTAAAGTAGCCGCTCACTGGCCCTAGTTTCACAGAAATAGCCACAAAAAATCTTCTCTTTGCTACCTGCATTTTTAAAATCTAAAAATGTCACAAATTTGTACGAAATTTCTCATTAAAATTATAAATTTTAAGAACCAACAGATACACGTTTAAATTGACAGATCACCAGAAGATGTTCAGCTTAGTATCATAAGAAAAACTGCAAATAGTTGACGAAGATAAAACCTGAAAATGCTTTTAAAACTGACAAAATATCAGAAGTGCTGCTGGTTGATTGTCCATCCACAGCCTCATCCATAAATCGACTAACCATTTATTATATCTGCTTTTATTTTTGGCTGAGTGAGGTTCGCACTTCCACTCTGAGGTTCTATTTTCAACTCTTTTTGATTATTTATTATTAATTGACAGGATTTCTTTAAAAATCTAGATTTCATCCACATTCATAAAAATGGTGATTAGAGTTTGACGAGGAACAAGGCTGAGTCTGGAATCACAGGCAGACTCTCTCAACCACATTATAGCTTATGAAAAAATATGTATATTGTGGATATTTTTATATATATATATATATATATATATATATATATATATATTCGAATCTATTTAAACACTTTAGTGAAATATTCTCTCTATAAACATTTCTTTTTTTATTCCAATATTTTTTCTCAGCCTCATTTAAAAATGTCAACAAATTCCAAGAACAGAAAATAAATCCTGATTGTCTGTCATTTTGTTGACACTGTCACAGATCCAGATCAAGCATTTTCTCTTACAGATATAACAATTGTTGGCCTCGGTTGTTGTTTTCAGAGGAGAAAAATAAATTTTGATTCTTGATTACAGCAAGCAAAACGAACGGTGACACAATCTAAGTTATCTACTGCAGTGTATACTGCTGGGTTATCTGCAGCAATGCAAACGTGTACGTGGACATTACTTGGAAATGTACAATAAACTACTATATACTTCTCAAAGACGGAAAAAATATCAATACAGAGCAAAAACAAAACACTGTGCTCTCTGTAACGAACGATCTGTTTTTAAGTCTGTATATGTTGACGAGCAAAAGTAGTGAAATAATTTGGGAAAATGCTTTTCAGTGACGTTATGTTTGTGTTTTTAGTAAATGCAAAACACTTTAAAACATCATTGGCTAATAAAAATATTCACATTCACCTGCCTGGTCAAAAATAAATAAATAAATAAATTTGAAAAGCAATGAAGGAGCTCACAACAGGAGTGAAAGTTCATCTCACTGTTTTAGAGTTGAGTAACACCGACTGGCTCATATGATTCGCAATGAAATTAAATAAAATGGAACCCAGGCAGCATTATGTCTGAGGAGGAATTCGTTCATACCGAGGGCGGTTGGAGTTACAATCCAGGAGAAGGTCCGGCTCTCTTCGGCGCACAGACAAATGTTGTAGTGGCAGCCGTCACAGTTTCTGAAGGTGTACTGGTCAGAATCGGCCAACGTTACCTCCACCTGCAGACACAAACAAAACGTGCTCAGTGTCAGGAATACTAATACAGACAGTATATAAAACATTCTTTCCAAGTGACAGAGCACCAGTTAACAGTGTAGACACACTATTTTCTACACTGTAAAACAATACTGACTGACGACGTCAAAACTATTCAAGCATTTGAATTTTGCAGAAGCATTAAAGTGTTGGTACACAGGAAATAGTCTTGTTCAGTTACCATAGTAACCCATACTGTGGTAAGAACTGATCAACGAAGAAAGGACTAACTTTAAGACACAAATGGTCATAAAGTGCAGTTAGAAAAAAAATAAAAAAAAAAGAGAAACACTATAATGAAACTTGTGAAAATGCCCCAGGAAGAGAAGACCAAGAGTTCATCAGAAATCAGAAGTTAACAGTAACTCAGATTAGAGTTTACATCAATGAGTCTGAGCTGCAGATACATCCCAGCATCAGCAGTTGGACGAGACTGACTGAATGAGACTTTCATGGTAGAACTGCTGCACAGAAACCACCACTGAGGAAGAAGGAAACTGCCTGGACCAAGAACCACAAGGAATGAACATTAGACGAGTAAAAATCTGGTCTGATGAGTCCACATGTCAGATTTTTGCCTTCTTGAGACTCCGAAGAGTTCAACATTTAACAAAGTTCAATGCATGAAGCGTGTCGGGGGAGCTGTGACGGTGACCACGTCGGGGCATTATTCAGAACTCAAGGCAGCACTTTACCAGCGTGGCTATCACAACATCTGCCAGTGTCACACCATCCCATTTGGTTTGCACTTAGTGGAAGCTTCATTATGAGCCAAAACAAGAGTGATGGAGTGCTGCATCAGAGGACCGAGCCTCCACAATCCCCCATCTACAACCAACTGCAATGGTTTGGAATCAGATAGGTCCAAGAAGCATGCTGAGGCTGACTGATGGAGGAAACATTTAAGTGCCAAAATCTGAAGTTGAGGCTGTTTCCAAAAGCGAGTCAATCACTAGAAAGCCTCATGTTAAAATGTCCAACTTTCCAACTGCTGTGAAAACTGTTTTGGGCTCTATATCCAATTTCCCTGTTAATGACAACTCTCCAGGGGGTACATTTTTATACATTTTTGCCTGCTTAAACTCTATTAAGGCTCAAAGTTCTGCATAATTAAGGGCATGGTTACTTTGAGGGGTCAATCGGAACCATCATACGACAATCGATGGCCGAGGGACGGTCACATTTGCCCAGCTGAGTTGTACTCCATCGCTTTGCTCATTTTTTTTGGAGGAGTCAAAGACAGGCAATACGGCAACAACTGAAGCCACAACACTGAGCTTCAAAAACCACTCTTCTGTGGGTGACACCACAAAGGGTTTGTCCGTCTTTGCATAAAGTCTATGGTTGGATTGCAGAGTGCTCAGCGTAGGTGGGAACTCCTTTAAGACTGTTGGAAAAGCTCCAGGTTACGACCTCGTGATTCTGCAAAGCAAATTTCTAAACATGTTTTGCTTTTCTTACTCGTTTAATGCTTATTACAGGAGTTCCACATGTGCTATTTCTGAGGTTTATGAGTTAAGCAATATTCTATCATGTAGAAAATAGCAAAAAAATAAAAAAACACTGGATGAGTAGGTGTGTCCAACCTGGCAGTGTATGAGACAATTCCACATTTCAGTGTTCTGTCTTGTATTAGTTTGTGAATCCACTTTGGAAAAAAAAAATGCATGTATAAGAAGTTGCACATTTACCATAATGCATTTGGAGAGATAATTGAAGACCGTGGCTTTGAGAGTGAACACCTCCCCTCGGATGACAGAGTAGGGCAAGGTGAGACTGACAAAGAACGGCTGGAACACAGTAAGTCCTGTGTTGGGCGACACGCCGAAGCCGACGGAGGAGACGCAGAACGCTCCGGCTGCCCACTTGGTGATGGTGTCAGGGACTGTCTTCTCCACATTCGCTGCCCCAGTGTCTCTGTAACACAGACAAGCAACAGCACAATGAAAAACAAACTGCATGAACACATGATGAGTCATCGCTTGGCTTTGGGGGGTGTAGCACATAATTGGCAGCTCCATTCTCTGCTTCGTAAAGGTCATTCTAATACGCCCATTACTCTTCAACACTTGCTAATAGACAGCATGGCTAATTCGGTTAATTGGAATCCACTACCAAGCTGCACGTACCTCTAACAGGGATTTAAAAGCTGCTTCTTTGGTGGGGGACAGGTATTTTCAAGGGAACCGGTTAGCAGTTCCAACAGCTGCTAAGTCTGTGAAAGTGTCCTCATAAGCATCACTGCAGAAGTAGTGGACATGAACAAACCCGTTCCTGTATGATCTGACTTAATAAAATAACTTCCTTTAACGCTTTGTTGAAGCATGTCAAACAGCGAGGTTTGGATATAGTTAAATACAAGTTGAAAAGTTATTTTTAATGTTATGAATTCAAGCTATTGGATATGTGGGTAATGTTATAATGGAGGTTGAATAGGGAGAAAATCTCTTAGCGATCCAGAAACATTTACCTCTAAACTATTTTCTGGCCTTTTGTGCCAATGTGTCCAGTAGACATATTTCACAGAATGAGCAGGAATGTTAACCTGCCAATGGCGTTAGAAGCCAGTTTATCACCATGTCCCCACGTCACTATGATCTAGAAGTTGTCAATACTATTTCACCAAAAGCCAAAATTTAGCATGTTCACCTTCTACTGGTGCTATAGTACAAGTCAGATATCACCCACCTCGTCACACCATGAAAATACAATATGTCATCCAACATTTAGTCTGGTGTCACTGACAGACTGACTTTGGCATCTTTTGAAAAAAAACTAATAAAAATGTTAACCTAATAATGGCACAAGAGAAAAGTTGCAGGAAGTCATTAGATTCATCCCACGAGGAACATAATGTGTGAAATATCTAAATGACTATTAGATTACAATGACATGTTGCACGAGTGTTTTATCGACAGACATCCATTGGTCACATGGCTAAAAACAGATTAATATACAGTCGTGACTCGATAATCCGACCTTTAACAATCCTAAACCTTGCCTTGCCTTAACCACAGGCAGCCAAGTACTGCCTGTGCGTTCCAACCACTTCCATCCCCGGGTTGGAAGTGGTTGGAACGTGCACAATCACACCAGTCAATTAGGCTGAAATCCAGCGATGCGTAGTGTTCTAACAATACACTGGTTATTATAACAACTATAAACAATAAATATTAACAACAAATAATCCTTCCAGCATCAAGCCCTCTTTGTATCTCGACCTCCATCTTGACAATCCGACAGCCTTGTTATCCGACATAAAAGAAGGTTTTACATTTAGTGTCGGATTATCGGGTCACGACTGTACATTAAGACAAATTAATTAGTAAAAAATTAACAGTTAAAAAAGTCCTGAAACCCTCCTCTCTCAATAAGGCCCTACTATGAGTGATGGGGTCCTACATGAACACAGTTTTCTGCTGAAGTTAGAACAGTTTTGGTTACTGCACATCAGAATATGGATGTTAGACTGCTGGTTAGACCAAGATGTCACCTCTGGAAAATTAGAATGAATGAAAACAAACCATTTTTTAACATTTCACAGGCTAAATAATGACTCAGCATTCTTGCTAACACAGACTGAGTGTTTAAAATGCACAAATGGCTGGAAAAAAACCCCAAAACAAAACAAAAAAAAATAGTTTGATCCTCTTCTCATGATGTATTATTACCCCACAGTAACTAGGTCCCAGATCCAGGTTTCAGGGAAGAATGTTCTGACAGTCTTCTTTTTCTCTTCTTCTTTCTCTCTCAGTACACCGCCAGAGTTCTGTGGCATCATGTTGAAGGCCATGGGAACAGGAGAGTCTACATTATCTAGGAACACATGGATAAAAACAACATCAGTACACAAGTATACTTACCCAACAGAAACCAGCTCCCAGATCCAGGTCTCAGGGAAGTATGTTCTAATAGTCTCCTTGTTGCTTCCAGCGTGACCTTCAACAGGTATACCAGGCCTCCCCATTTCTCCAAATGCCATTTCTGGTACTACATATTACAGTGAAAAATATGATAGTAGTTCTGTTTTCTGAGTTATCATGGACTGTGTACTCACCAGACCATTTCAATGGAAAATTGACAAACATACCAGAATCATATAAGATGTAATCTAAGAACTTTTCACGGCAGTCGTAAGGTTTTTTCACATCAGAGTTCGTCATAATTTTGACTCCAATTTCCTAGAAGTGGAGAGAGACAAAGAAATAGGAGAGAGTGAAGCCATGCTGCTGTATATAATCCAGCTCTGTCTGATGATACAGAATGACACTGAAGACAATTCTACAACTCAAGTATAGCGCTTTAAATAAAAATCCAACTCAGAGAGCTATGGAAAGATAAAGCATATTATTGATCGTTACAACTGCCAATACGCTGTGGAGTCGATGAAAGATGCCTACTTTAAAGATGCTGTAGACATCATTTTTCTCATCGTTATTTCCGAAGAAGACCGAAGAGCGTCTTCCTCGACGAGGCGGCTGATCCTCGAGCACGGGGAAGCAGGGATACGGCTCGAAGTCGTCCACCTCGTAGGAGTATCCCGACAGCTTCTGAACAGGCAGCTGGCTGTACATCTGCACAGAAACACTCCTGTCAGTGAGTCTGGGCCGAACACCGGTCTGAATTATGGGAGTCTAGTCTGGCGAGAGAGCCATTTCTAACTGGCTTGGAATCAGCAAAACTGCTGTTCATTGCAACTTTAAGAAAACGCAGTATGGCTCCTGCAAAAACTGCAAGGAAGAGGTAGAAAATGGTGGTCACGGTGGTCTAGCAGATACTTCCAAAGCTGCATATATTCATTATTACCACCAGTAAATAGGGCCCATGTAACTCTGTGGGTTATTAGGTGCTGTAAAATGTGAGGAAGTGAGAACCACAACAGCTATGATGTTGCTTGTACTGATTTTGATATGTCAGCATGAAGTGGAGCTAAATCTGCCAGAAATACATTTAATATGTACAGTACACCAAAAAAAAGGACATGTTCTGGGGGAAATCTAATTGCGAGTTTTTGATTGGGTGAATTACTACCACGTCTACTTTTGCCATCTCTGAGACCAACACAACACCGGTGCTGAAGGTTCAGATGATATTTGTCTTACATAGTCAACACTGAGTTCCTGCTCAGTCTGCAGCAGGAGGACACTCTGGTCGATGGCTCTGACGGAGCACACGGAGCCTGGGTGAGCCTGGAGACTCAGTGTGGTCTTCTCCGCTGGAAGCTGCTGGAGAGACGGGAACTTCAAAGACACCTGCGCAGGACACAGCAAAGCAGAGAGAGATTAAAGATTAAATTAAGTTTGTCTGGTCCAAATCTACAATACACGTCTTTAGACTTTCCTACATATCCAAGATGCTTTGTATTCTTTTAATGTGGCAATGAGCTACCTTGTTATTAAGGCAGAGCTGAATGGGAAAGTCCAGGCTATCAGCCACAGCCTCTCCAAAGGGCATCACAGTGTACACCACCACCTGGGCAAATGGTGCCAGATCTGTCACCTGACCGAGCGGGATAGACAACTCTCCTTTGTTGACTGAGGCATGAAACACAGAGAGAAAAAGGGATGTGACCTGCAGCAGCATGGCATTACTAGTAACACACAAACAACACAAACAATATTCTCTTGCTTTGCCAACATTTGCAAACAATAAGGTACTGTGCTAGACTGAAGTTGAGCTTGCAAATAGACAACTGTTAGTTTCAAACACTTGACAATAAAGAGTAACAGTGGGCTTATTCCATGTTTCTGTTGTTGTCAACAAATCCCAGGTAAGACCAACATGAACAAAGCGCTGGCCCAGTACTTCCAGTCGTTTTTTGGCGTCATTGAGCAAAGACTCAAAAGTGCAGTGGGTCAGCTAGATGACGATCAGTGGGAAGACCATAGACTGTATAAAAGATGGACGGAGCAACCGGCCCTGAAAAATGAAGCCAACCCGGAAGTGTCAAAAACCTGCAATATCACTGCGTCCACCAGCTGCTGGCTCCAAAAAGCCCTGGCTCCCATAGACTTGAACTGGAAAAGAAGTGATCACAGATCACAAAATATCGCATTCCTCCAGCTCAGGATTTGTTTTTATTAGTTTTCATAGTCAAATCCAGAGATCAGGAGGCCAGTCTGAAAATAAATCAAAACTGAATTTTTAAAAAATCATCAACATTTTGCGGGGCAAGGGGCGTGGCTGGCTTGATTGACAGTTGGCAGCGACCATACAGACGAAGCGAGCAGAAGGCGGTAAATGTGGGCGGGCAGAGAGGGCCCGCCTCTCAATCCGTCTGACCAATCGCTGCTCCTATGGCTCCGCCCCCCTCCTATGATTTTTGCGTCACTGGCTCCAAAAATCCAAGATGTCAACCAGGAAGTAGCAAAACCCTGGCTTCATTTTCTCAGTGCAGAAACCAACGGGTGACGTCACGGAAGCTACGTCCATCTTTTATACAAAGTCTATGGGGAAGACCAGGGTTTGAAGCCTGGCTAAGGTCATGAATCAGTTTTTATGTCTGCCTTGAAGCGTGTGTTCGTGTGGCGATAGTGCGTATAACAGAGATGGGAGATGGAGAAGAAGTCTTGTCGGTAGAATACAGTCAGTGTTCGTTGGGGTCTTTTCATGGGAGCTCTTGGCAGTAAGAGAATTATTGAATTTTACCAGAGCTATTCTATAGATTAACATTCGTATTTATAGCTAAAAAAAAATACTAGTTTTACCGATTCCAGCTTTTACAGTCACTGGGACACGACCGTGTTGCACAATTGCTCCTCTGGACAGCACCTAGAAAGAAAAACAAGGCAGGCAGAGAAATGTATTCACAAAAATGGTGAAGAACTCTAGGATATATTTTTTATACACTATTCTGCAAAAGACATCCGAGACTAAGTCAATGAAGTGGATAAATTACTGTTTGATTTGTGTTGTTTAGGTGGGCGAGGTGTATGATCCGAGTGCATTCAAATAATTGTGTTACAGAAAGCAGGTCTCTGTGATGTGATGCTTATCTATATTCAGTTAATACAAACAATCCATACCTTGAACGCATGCAGATGACCAGATATATTTCTAGACATGTGAATACAGCTACCAGGTGGGTGGGAAATCATTGACAGTAGCTCCTACCAGGTAAAAGAAGTCGAGGACCTCCTGATCCTTCTTCAGCTCCTCCCCCTGGATGATGTACTGAGCACGCACAGTTGCATCTTTGTCACAGGGGAGCTTCTCGTTGCCCTGCATGATCTTCAAAAAGCTATTGCTCTTAGAGTAGAACGGTGTGACTTGGTGGCGGGCCGACCTGTATTCTGGCCTCCGCAGATTGTGCACATAGGGATCATGATCCGTCGTATTTTTAGAACTCGCCTGTTGACAAGATAAGGTCAAGGATCAATTTTTCACTCCAAAGTCAACCTCTAGTTATCAAACATGAACCAACATCAGCTCGTTTCCATTGTGAGCCGCCTTCAAAATGATAGATATGAGTTTAATTAAATCTAGACTGCAAAACTGATGAATATTGGTTGTTAATGAAAGTCCTCAACACAACTGACTCCAGTCAAAGTAAAATGTCCCTGGGGTCAACAAATGGCTACAGAAGGCAGTAACTTACCACCAGGTACAGAGTGTCCTTCCAGAGGGAGGTGTCCAGAGAGAACACAGCCACACCTTTCGCATCTGTGGTCAACGTGAATTTCTCTGTGTCACCGGCAGACAGGTACACCAGCTCATTGGAGACCGGTTTGCTGTCTGGACCGACAACTTTGATCTGAAAGCAAGTCAGAAAGCAGCAATTCAGGATGCATCAAGACTAAAAGTTCACTGTTCTCCATCGCAAGAATGATTGTGCCACTCCAATGTTCCAGTCCTGCTAAAAAAAAACAGGTCAGCTTTAAGGTACTGATCATCAGAGGTTTAGAGCTAAAGGTTTTTCTCCCTCTACAAGAATGAAGTTGAATCCTCTGGTTGAATCATTAGAAACCATGGAGCCACCGTTGGGTTGTAATTTTGATGTGCTGGTTGCATCAGGAGTCTCCAAAAACCCAAGGATTCACCAAACTGTTCTGAGCATCCAGGAATTAAAGTCCTTTTGATTTCTACATAAATAACGTCAGGTGGCTGACCAGGATGGCCATTAACCTGTTTGAACAATTAATCAATGTCAAATATATCTAACTAACTAACAGCAAATCACAAAGGCTTCAATCTAGGATATACCGTTCTACATTTATGGCTATAAAGTATTGAGACTAATGCAGTAATTCATGATTTAACTCCAGCAGACTGAAACCTTTAGGGGTTGTTAACATGCACGCTGTGATTCCACTGAATATAATCCCCGTCTTATTAGTTAATAGCCGCACCTCGTACACACTGAAGTGCATCTGATCCACGGTTTAAAGTGTCACATGAGTGGTTCTACAAATTCACGCTGTCCTTCTTGATGGTGTCTCCGTGTGGAAATACTTCACCACATGTTTTGAATTTAATACACAGCAAATATTAAACTGAAGCTTGATTTTACAAAAATAAAAATTGCAGATTAAATAACAATTAGATATTTTTCCCAAATCATTCATCTCTATATGAAACTCACTGAACCACACATGAGGAGTCATTTTGGGTACAAACATTCAATCGCAAACTTTAAAGTTCTGCTGTGTGCACTGCTCACTCACACAGACACTCTATCAGCTGTTTAAATCACTTCATTTGCTGCGTATCTGTTTTCATTCCACTGATTGGCTTCTTTTCCATGATTTTTCCATGACTAAGGCTCATCTATGTCAGCGCTACCTGCCATTAACAATCTTGATGTCTCAGCAACAGCACTGGGATGATTAACACACAGCGTCTGAATATCTGAGAATGTTGCGAGTTTTATATTGATTTTATCTGATTTAATTAAATGTTTAAAAAAAATGCAACTCCTCCTCCAACTTCAAAACAAGTCCTTGCTGCCTTTCACAGGCAGAAACTGTAACTTTGCTCAAAGTAATACATGAAACCAACATAGCTGCCACATTTCCATGACGTTCTCCACATTGCTTTTCACAGTTTCAGCTTCGACTGGAGCTCTTTCATCATCTCATTGTGCATTCTTTTGCAATGGTTTGATGCACCTCACATGGCCGTTTATCACAACAAACCTACTAGTAATATTTGCATAAAGGCAGTTTTGACAATTTTCTTGAAATTCAGCTAAAATTTATGTTGCATTTGGAGAGAAAACCAGTGAATGGAAAAAGAATTGTGTGCCAGCAGCTCTTGTACCAAGTGATGCTTTGAGCTGCTTGGCCTGTCAGCAATCTAACATGCCAACAGTGTTAACATGCTGATCGTTACCAGGTTAGTTTAACGAGCTAACATTTACTAATCAGCTCTATCAAATTAGTTTAGTAAAGGTTGACATATTTCACAGGATAAATAAAAAGTGACTTGCTGATGCAATGCATTGCTCTGAACTACTAAAATCATTTGGATTCATTAACTGGGCTTCAGTGACATCTGTATTAAATTCCTCAGCAATAGATCTGATACATCTTCTAAAATCAAAAATGTCCACATCACATTGATGCAAGAGTCAGAAGGTCCCTGTGGTTAGCATCTTGTGGGGATGAATCCTGCTGATGTCTGTACAAAATGTGACAGAACAAGAGTCCCCTTTGTCCTGTGCTGACAGCAGACTGCAATCCAAACTCATTATTAACCAGACTAGTTACCTTTCCCTCAAACGTGATGCCAGGCTTGTATGCTGCAGGTACATCCTCAAAGGTGACCGTTCGGATGTGGCTGCTGAAGCTGCTCCTCCCACTGCCTTTAAGGATGACCCCTGGATGGAAGTCAACGTTACAGGTCACAACTCATCAGGAGCTCGTGCTGCTAACACAATGAACTGATTCTGTGTACCTGTGACAAGCCTACCTGTCCCATACTCCTCCATTTCTGCAGACAACTCAAAACTGTCAGCGTACATGTTCTTGTCAAGGGCAAATGCTTTCAGGTTCACAGTGTGTGTGGCGCATCCACTTTTGTCCGTCTAGCAAACAACAAAAAGGGGTAAAGCTCGATAATTAAAAAAACATAATAATTTAACGAGAACTATGATTACGACAACTGACAAGCATCCTTGCTATTGAGCGTAATGTAATTGTACATTGTCTTGTCAATAAACAATAAAATAAATACATTTTTACATCTTGAATACTCACAGTCAATTGGTAAGTCTCGCAGAGGTCATTTTCTTTGAGATTTGAATACCAGTACCGAATGGCGTTTCTACAAAACTCTGCCTTGACTGAGCCAATAACTGGTTTCCCGTAGGTGTATCTGTTGGAGACGGCACAGGAGTGCAGAGGTGGTTATTGTAGGAAATGATTAGATGATGTCAAATGCGGGTAACACTTCGAGGACGGTTCTGCTTAAGTGGGACGCTCACTTTCCACAAATCCTTAGCGGTGCGTCCTGATCCAGGATGGTTATCACACTGGGCAGCTGAACTTTTACTTCAAACTTTGGCAAAACTAAAGCAAAAAAAACAACAAAAAAACAGATCAAATAAAGTATTCCAGCTGAAAATGTACATATACCAAACTCCATATTTATTGATAAATGTAAGATATTTCTCTCTTCTTTTTTTTCTTTCTAAATTAAAAAAAAAAGTCAGGCATCGCACCGTATTCCTTGATGTCAAAGCTGTGAGATATTTGCTCTCCTTTGTCTGTCAAGACGGTGATGGTGTAGGTTCCTTGCACCGCCTCAGGAATCATGGGGTGTGAAAGATCGAGAATGCCGCTGACAATGGCCTTGTCCAACCACTGGGCGATGCGATTTGAATTGGGATCCTGCATCCAGTAAAGACAGAAACACATTTATTAAAGGCTGCTCCATCCTGCACTACAGTAAATGTGCTGTGTGTAGAGCTGTCATGCCATCACTACATCTTTCAAATTACAATGATGGCCTAAGCCTGAGCTAGTCTACATGAAGCTTTCGGTTGGTTCATCTCAGTGATAGTAAACAAAGATTGGTACCAACCCAGTTTACAGATGATTACCCATCAGATAAATATCACATGTTCCAAGTTGTAGTTACTTGCCCCTGTGTGAACTCATATTTTATCCCTTGATTTTCTAAATCTATTTTGCAGTCACAGGAGTACACATACGTATCCCACTGAATGGGATTTGGGGCAACCAGCTAATATACATCATCAACACATGGTTACCTTATGTAGCTATAGAGGAGATGTCATGGGTCAGAGGATATCAGCTGACAAGTGTCTTTTCTTTTTTTTTATATTTTCAAAAATGATGGTTGGATTCTAAAGCCCCTCTCATCCTCTGCCTCCATATCCAACAAGGAGCGTCAGGAAGGGGAGGGTGAAACTGAACAGTCCTCTGTGTCGTTGAGGTTCTTCATTAAGACACACCCACTTTCAGCCACATCAGAAATGACAGATCTCCTGCATAACTTTTCACTCAGAAATGCATCCTACTGCAAAACCTAAAGCGACTGTAACTGCTAATGTCACCGGTTTGACTTCACTGCATGTCACAATACCATTTCTCTCCCTTCTCATTTCCTGCCCGTCTCTATTCTGGTGCTCAAAAATAAAATAATTTTTAAAAGAAGCCAAATGAACCCTTTAAAAAGAAAAGCAGCTAGTCAGCAGTTTTCAGGAAGACTGTCTAATTTATTTCTAACGCAGATGAATGTTTGTCATTTTAAGTGTTTCTCACCTGGAGCGCCACTTCTTTGTACTGAAAAGGAGGAAACAATTGGTTAGTTGCACACAGACTTTTTACAATATACACACAGTATACAGGCACAATAAAGCTTTACATCAATATATAGTCATCTGGAGGGAAAAAAACAATCTGGTAAAGATTAAAAAGTTTTAATAGTAAATAGTATTTGTGTTATGTCAGGCTTAAATAACAACACAGAAGGAATAAGCGTCATAAAAAGCTGAGTGGTCGGAGATCAGCATGTAGACTGTCAACAAGTTATGACTCCATCATCACTTCATTTGACAAATGCTGTTTAGTCTCAATTGCTTTAGACTGCCGGAGGATTCTAATGATGCACTGAGC